AATAAAAAAACATACAAAAACTTAAAAATTTAACTAATCAAAGCAAAAAGTGAATTTAACTCAAATAGTCACCTGATGCACCGTGGATTCTGGCTTCAATTCAGTTTATTTCTATAGCTCCAATTCACATCATGTCTTCTCAGGTCACTTTGTAGTTCACCAGATCATCCAGTCAGATTGATTCAAAGTTTTCTATCTAAGGAAAACCAGCTGATTGCATCGACTCATTGACTTTTCAGCAATCCCTCACACTAAGCATGCTTGTAGCGACAGTGGAGAGGAAAAACTCCCTTTGAACAGGAAGAAACCTCCAGCAGAACCAGGCTTAGTGTGAGCGGCCATCTGCTGTTTCTTTCAGTTCTATAAAGCCAGAAGAGATGCAAAGGAGCACAAAAGAGCCGTCAGAGGTGGCTTCACCTGGATGACCCGCATCTGCGCAGTTTGAGGGAGCAGGTGGGAATGATGAGGCCATATAATTAGTAGTGAATTAGTAAACTACATTGTTTCCTCTGAGATTCACAATGTGGGCGTATAGAAATAAAAGAAATAAACACAATGGACACAAGGATGAGCTTTTGTTTCATATTTTAAGAGATGTGTATAAAAAGCATTGTACGCAATGTTTCTTTGTTTTTGCTTTTTTTTTCCGCCCCCCAAGCATTTTATCGTCTTTACAGTCTCCCGAGTACAAAGCAAAGAAATCCACTCTCTGCATTTCACCCGTCTCCTCGGGGAGCAGGGTGGGGTTAAGGGTCTTGCTCAGCAGAGATGGGAAGTGACGAAGTACAAATACTTCATTACTGTACTCAAGTAGATTTTTCTGATATTTTTACTTTACTTTACTACTTATTTTAATGGCGACTTTTTACTTCTACTCCTTACATTTTTACACAAATATCTGTACTTTCTACTCCTTACATTTAAAAAAATTGTCTCGTTACTTTAGTTTTGAATCATTTCAATGGAGTTACCGTTATTATTTTTCACGTCATCAATACCAAATTCAATCTAATTGGATGGGAATCTACGTTGCATTTGACGCACCACTACTAGATGAATCGACAGATTCGGCGGTATTCATTGGCGGCGAATCATTGCAGCTTGGTGGCGGTGGCGTTAGCATAGTAGCATGGACGACGAGATGATTGAAAATGAACACAACGGAGATCTAGTCCTATTGGCAGACATCCATTTAAAATGTAGGCAACGGCATGAAAAAAGTGGTTTCTACTTTTACTTTTATACTTTAAGTACATTTACAAGCCTGTACTTTGTTACTTTTACTTGAGTAAAGAAGTTTAATCAGTACTTCCACTTTTACCAGAGTATTTTTTAACACAAGTATCTGTACTTTTACTCAAGTACGGAAAGTAAGTACTTTTGCCATCTCTGTTGCTCAGGGACCCAGAGTGGCAGACTGCATGAGTTATTTGGGAGGGCCAGTAACACATTGGGGGAAAATGATGGAATTAGGCAACTTTTTCCGTCCCTGAGGGTCCCTGGTGACGCCATTTCATTAATGGAAGGTGATTAAAACAAGAGAGCTAGTCTCTAAAACAGACATGGCTACGGCTTGATGCTAACATGTTTGTTAGCTGTCAGAATTCAGAGAAAAAAGTCAGAATTCTGATTTTTTTTCCCATATTAAACAGAAATAATATTTTAAAAACATGTTAACTTTTTTCCTTTTTTTTCAGTGGCTCTAATCCTCTTGTGTAGAAAAGGTCCCGTCCCTTGGAAATGTCGCCTATTCAGGGAATAAGGCTGAATGTGGGTCCAGGCTATGGAGGGGGTCGGCTTTGATCTTCCCGTATCAGACGACAGAAATGGCAGCAGTGAGCACTGAAGGCGAGAGTGACCAGATGGTGACCGCAGACTTCACAAGAGAACTTCACCTCAGAGTCACGCAGAGGGAAAACATCAGGAGAATTTTTCATTCCTTTCTGCATCAAATCCCTTCAGTTCAGAGTTACAATGAAAAAATGAGTGGAAAACAAAATCTCTTCCTAGTTGATATTAAAGGGGAACGCCGTTTTTTTTTTTACATTGGGCTCTTGATTTTATGTTATTCCATCATGTTCTACTCTCCCATATGAGTTTTGTGTCATTTGGAGCCGTTCTGAAGATATTCCTTCGTTATATTTTTTATATTTATATTTTTTTAAACAAAGCGGCGCGTGTATGACTTCATCCGTGTGGCGGACTGGAGTTGTGACAGTCAGCCTGGGCTACAGGCGGCTACGCTCTACCCCTTCTATTCATTCTAGCTAATCTGAATCACTTCACTGCAAAAATAATCTAGAAATAAGTAAAGATTACTTAAATCAGTGTATTTACCCTTAATTTGAGTAGGTAAGTAAGAGGATTTGCCAATGGAATAAGTATTTTTACTCTTAAAAAAAGATAATTAGATAAAATGCAATTGAAATAAGACATTTGCTACAAAAAATTTTAATCTCAATAAGTAATTTTTTCTTAAAATAATTGCATTTTTTCTTGTACTGAGGAGGTGAGACACTTTGCCAATGGAACAAGACAATTTACATTTAAAATAAGAAAAAAATATTTTATTGTCTTATTTCAGGTGCATATTATCTAATTCTCTTATTATAAAAGTAAAAATACGCAAATCATCTGATTTACCTGCTCAAATTAAGGATAAAAACACAAAATGTAAGAATTTTTTGACTTATTTCTAGATTGTTTTTGTAGTGTGGCAGTTGTTTTTTCTTAATTTAAATCAAAATCATCTTGTTCCATTGGTAAAGTGTCTCACTTACCTCCTCAATCCAAGAAAAAATGCACTTATTTTAAGAAAAAAATGACTTATTAAGATTTACATTTTTTGCAGTGGAGAGCGAGATCATCTGTGGTAGCAGCACTACACTGCAAAAATGTAAATCTAAATAAGTCATTTTTTTCTTAAAATAAGTGCATTTTATCCTGATTTGAGGAGATAAATGAAACACTTTGCCAATGGAACAAGATAATTTACATTTGAAATAAGAAAAATCAATCGCATTGTCTTATTTCAAGTGCATATTATCTAATTAACGTATTTTAAGTGTAAAAATACTCATTCCATTGGCAAACTATCTTATTTACCTGCTCAAATTCAGGGTAAATACACTTGATTTAAGAATTTTTTACTTAATTGCAGATTGTTTTTGCAGTGTAGACATCTTCCAGGCATGTGAGGAAAAGTAGCTGCAGTTCAGCGGACAGGATGAATGAACGGTGGCCGGCGCGCGGATGACGTCATACATGCGCCACTTCGTTTTTAAAAAATATAAATATAAAAAATATAACCTAACGGAATATCTTCAGAACGGCTCCAAATGACACTAAACTCATATGGGTGAGTAGAACATGATGGAATAACGGAAAATCAAGGGACCAATGTAAAAAAAAAAAAAAGGCGTTCCCCTTTAATCTCGGCCATTGAGGACTCCTCGTACAATTTCTTTTGTAAAAAAATGTTCTTGTTGGTAAACCTCAGAGTTCTACTTTGTTACTGACATTTTTTCCAAGTCAGTTAGCAAAGATCTTAATGTATGCTAACAATGTGAACATTCAGAACTGCCACAAGTTTGGGAGCGTTATCGCACTCTGTGTTTACATCCCCGCCTCCGCGGAAGTCACCGCTGTGTGCGAGAGGATCCACGATGCAGTGACCCAGGTGCAAACACAGCCCCCCCGCTCTCTCCTACTCATAACCGGTGTTTTCAACCAAGCTTCCCTCCGTTCCATCCTCCCCATGCTCACCACATGTAAAACAAGGGACAATAACACCCTGGACCTCTTTTATGCATACATTAAAGGAGCCTACCCTCCCTCATTAGGACATCCGGGTCATAACCTTGTCTACCTGCTCCCCCACGACATACCAGTGGTGAGAAGGACAATAGTGCAGAAGAGGTCAGTGAAAGTTTGGTCAGATGAGGCCACTGAGAAACTGAGGGATTGTTTCAGAGCCACAGATTGGAGCAGGTTCCAGAGCTTTCCCGGTGATGACATCATCAGCCTGACTGAGTGTATCACAGACTACATGACCTTCTGTGTGCAGAGCACGGCGCCCAAACGACGGCTACAGAGCTTTCCAAACAACCACCCCTGGATAAGTCCTGAGCTGAAAGTCCTCCTGAACCAGAAAAAAAGTTATTTCAACTCAGTAGACAGAGAAGAGCAGCGTAGAGTCCAACGAGAGCTCAGATCAGGGGGGATTTACCATTAGGCAATACTCGGCCAGAAAGGTCCAAACAGACAGCAGCAAACCATTTGAAAACGAACCATGCAAAGAGCAGTGTTGCCAACTGCTTTGGTCGCTATATTTAGCCACTTTTCAGACCCCTCTAGCACTTTGATTTCTAAAAAGCTCCTAGCGCCAAATCTAGAGACTTTTTTTCTGCTACTGGAGACTTTGGAGAGAACATCTAAAAGCAGCGAACTCTACTCTCCAGAGCAAGTAGATTGGTAACCCCGCCTCCTGCTCTTGTCTATCTTGTCTGCTGTCATGATTCATGCAGCTATTATTTCATCCAAATGAAAAATGGAGAACAGATAAGCTGATCATGGATTGTCTACAGTGAAAAGAAGGACTAAGACTTTTTGAGACAGCTTGCAAAGTCAGCTAGCTTGCTGTCTGGCTGGTTGGGTAGGTCTTTGGATTCCCCCAAAGTCTGACAGATTTAAATAAATAAAAAAACTAGGAATAATTTCTCCTTTTACTTCTAAATATTTTATCACTAAAATCTAGTGAGTTGCAACGTGATAAACTTGGTGTACCTGTGTGAAGAACATTGGCGTAGTGGAGTCAAACATTAGTCTCAACATATCAGCTCTTTGCTGCAGAATTTCAGTCATTAACATTTTTCCAACAAAGATATCAAAGAAACTTGGAGGAGCTGAAAACATGAGGGGCAGCTGTGATCTTTTTCACCAGGGACAGATAGAAGAACAGAGCCAAACTGCGTCTGTCATGGTGAACAGAGTGAGCTCACCTTACTGCTGCCTTTGGTCTTACTGTTGCTGCTGTTGTTGTTGTCAGAACCTGGACTGGCATCTTCATGAACTTTGTCCAGAAGCCACAGGAGGAACTCGAGGGCATCGTGCTGAGAGTTTCCTCGAAACTGAGAGCCATATTTTGACACTATGCTCTAAAAGGGAGAAAAACATCACAATTAACACCTTATTGTTAATGAAATAAAGACATCTCACATGGCAAAAACATTTAGTCTTCAATCATAGCAATCCCATAATCCAACAGTTTGACCGCAGGGTTGAGTTCTAAGAGTTCCAGTGTTTCCTTGGGGTGGCGTTTGGCGTTTTCTGGGCTTAGGGTCTGTAGCTCATACTGAGAACTATCTAAAAAAATCATTGTTTACATCGGAGGCGGATTATCCAGGATAAGCAGCTGGAGAAATGATTCCATGATAGAAACACGAGCTTCCAGCTCCTTCTGTGGTATTTACTGGTTAGAGAGGGATTTATATTCATCAGACCCTCAGATAAGGTCTGGATCTCAGCCTAGTCTTCCTCATCGTCTCCCCCTTAAGTCTTCCTCATTGTCTCTCTCTAGAGTCTTCCTCATCGTCTCCCCCTTAAGTCTTCCTCATCGTCTCCCCCTTAAGTCTTCCTCATTGTCTTTCTCTAGAGTCTTCCCCATTGCCTCTCTCTAGAGTCTTCCCCATTGCCTCTCTCTAGAGTCTTCCCCATTGTCTCTCTCTAGAGTCTTCCCCATTGTCTCCCCCTAGAGTCTTACCCATTGTCTCTCCCTAGAGTCTTCCTCATTGTCTCCCTCTAGTCTTCCCCTTTGTCTCTCTCTAGAGTCTTCCCCTTTGTCTCTCTCTAGAGTCTTCCCCTTTGTCTCTCTCTAGAGTCTTCCCCTTTGTCTCTCTCTAGAGTCTTCCTCATTGTCTCCCCCTAGAGTCTTCCTCATTGTCTCCCCCTTGGGTCTTCCCCATTTTCTCCCTCTAGAGTCTTCCCCATTGTCTCCCTCTAGAGTCTTCCCCATTGTCTCTCTCTAGAGTCTTCCTCATTGTCTCTCTCTAGAGTCTTCCCCATTGCCTCTCTCTAGAGTCTTCCCCATTGCCTCTCTCTAGAGTCTTCCCCATTGTCTCTCTCTAGAGTCTTCCCCATTGTCTCCCCCTAGAGTCTTACCCATTGTCTCTCTCTAGAGTCTTCCCCATTGTCTCTCCCTAGAGTCTTCCTCATTGTCTCCCCCTAGAGTCTTCCCCATTGTCTCCCCCTTGAGTCTTCACCATTGTCTCTCTCTAGAGTCTTCCCCATTGTCTCTCTCTAGAGTCTTCCCCTTTGTCTCTCTCTAGAGTCTTCCCCTTTGTCTCCCCCTAGAGTCTTCCCCATTGTCTCTCTCTAGAGTCTTCCCCATTGTCTCTCCCTAGAGTCTTCCCCAATGTCTCCCCCTAGAGTCTTCCTCATTGTCTCTCTCTAGAGTCTTCCCCATTGTCTCACTCTCGAGTCTTCCCCATTGTCTCACTCTCGAGTCTTCCCCATTGCCTCTCCCTAGAGTCTTCCCCAATGTCTCCCCCTAGAGTCTTCCTCATTGTCTCTCTCTAGAGTCTTCCCCATTGTCTCACTCTCGAGTCTTCCCCATTGTCTCACTCTCGAGTCTTCCCCATTGCCTCTCTCTAGAGTCTTCCCCATTGTGTCTCTCTAGAGTCTTCCCCTTTGTCTCCCCATAGAGTCTTCCCCATTGCCTCTCTCTAGAGTCTTCCCCTTTGTCTCTCTCTAGAGTCTTCCCCTTTGTCTCCCCCTAGAGTCTTCCCCATTGTCTCTCTCTAGAGTCTTCCCCATTGTCTCTCCCTAGAGTCTTCGCCATTGTCTCTCCCTAGAGTCTTCCCCATTGTCTCCCCCTAGAGTCTTCCTCATTGTCTCCCCCTAGAGTCTTCCTCATTGTCTCACTCTCGAGTCTTCCCCTTTGTCTCTCCCTAGAGTCTTCCCCATTGTCTCCCCCTAGAGTCTTCCTCATTGTCTCTCTCTAGAGTCTTCCCCATTGTCTCTCCCTAGAGTCTTCCTCATTGTCTCCCCCTAGAGTCTTCCCCATTGTCTCCCCCTTGAGTCTTCACCATTGTCTCTCTCTAGAGTCTTCACCATTGTCTCTCTCTAGAGTCTTCCCCATTGTCTCCCCCTAGAGTCTTCCCCATTGTCTCCCCCTAGAGTCTTCCTCATTGTCTCTCTCTAGAGTCTTCCCCATTGTCCCTCTCTAGAGTCTTCCCCTTTGTCTCTCTCTAGAGTCTTCCCCTTTGTCTCTCTCTAGAGTCTTCCCCTTTGTCTCTCTCTAGAGTCTTCCCCTTTGTCTCCCCCTAGAGTCTTCCCCATTGTCTCTCTCTAGAGTCTTCGCCATTGTCTCTCCCTAGAGTCTTCCCCATTGTCTCCCCCTAGAGTCTTCCTCATTGTCTCTCTCTAGAGTCTTCCCCATTGTCTCACTCTCGAGTCTTCCCCTTTGTCTCTCCCTAGAGTCTTCCCCATTGTCTCCCCCTAGAGTCTTCCTCATTGTCTCTCTCTAGAGTCTTCCCCATTGTCTCTCCCTAGAGTCTTCCCCATTGTCTCTCCCTAGAGTCTTCCCCATTGTCTCCCCCTAGAGTCTTCCTCATTGTCTCTCTCTAGAGTCTTCCCCATTGTCTCTCTCTAGAGTCTTCCCCTTTGTCTCTCCCTAGAGTCTTCCCCATTGTCTCTCTCTAGAGTCTTCCCCATTGTCTCTCTCTAGAGTCTTCCCCATTGTCTCTCCCTAGAGTCTTCCCCATTGTCTCCCCCTAGAGTCTTCCCCATTGTCTTCCCCTAGAGTCTTCCTCGTTGTCTCCCCCTTGGGTCTTCCCCATTTTCTCCCCCTAGAGTCTTCTCCATTGTCTCCCTCTAGATTCTTCCCCATTGCCTCTCTCTAGAGTCTTCCCCATTGTGTCTCTCTAGAGTCTTCCCCTTTGTCTCCCCCTAGAGTCTTCCCCATTGCCTCTCTCTAGAGTCTTCCCCATTGTGTCTCTCTAGAGTCTTCCCCTTTGTCTCCCCATAGAGTCTTCCCCATTGCCTCTCTCTAGAGTCTTCCCAATTGTCTCCCCCTAGAGTCTTCCCCATTGTCTCTCTCTAGAGTCTTCCCCATTGTCTCCCCCTAGAGTCTTCCCCACTGTCTCCCCCTAGAACGAGGGACCTTCCCGCTCCAGCCGGTGAACAATACCTCCTTAACGACCAACCCTTAACAAACATAAACAGGTTTCAGGTATTACAGGAGACAATCCCCCCCCCTTAATGGCAATCCCCCCTTTAATGACCGACCCCTAGAATCATAGACAGGTTCAGATATTACAGGCTGACGATGGAACTAAACGACCCATTCATCGGTTACCATTGCATGTTTCCAAGCAATACAAGGCCTTGTCCATATAAGACTCAAACTCACTGCGGATCCAGACATTTGAATTGATAAAGCTTCCTTGAGAGGTGGCGAAACGTCTTCAAATCTTCAAAACCAAGTCCAGTGGATATTTTTTGAATTTTTACGGAATGACTATGACCTGGATGACTGAGAACCTTCATCAGCACGTCTCCCCCTTGAGTCTTCACCATTGTCTCTCTCTAGAGTCTTCCTCATTGTCTCCCCCTAGAGTCTTCCTCATTGTCTCCCCCTAGAGTCTTTCCCATTGTGTCTCTCTAGAGTCTTCCCCATTGTCTCCCCCTAGTCTTCCTGGTCTAATGTGGGAATCACCTTGACTAAATTCTCTGTAAGGAATAAAGGACCCCCCCAGCTCTAAACTCCAAGAATTTGCCCAGTTACCCTAAAGAGGAAACTAGGTTCAACCATTAGCACCTCTTTGTTCTGCTTGTGCTCCAAGCAGAATCTGTTCAGCAGCTCTGACAGAAGATCAGAGCAGGACCTTTATTACTTCTCCTCTATGCTATCGTCACTCTGCAAATTCAGAGGAGGAAACCTTCCTTGACCCATTAAACATTTGGCTTCCTGCTCCCTGAAGGTAATGGGTTGAAGAGCAGAACAACATTTTCTACACAAAGCGAAAATAAAAGCTGAAGTTCTCAGGTTCTCTCATTTCTTAGACTGGAATTTGAGATTCTGTCCATAAACACTAAGAACAGGGTAGGGTATAATTACGTCTCTTTTTTTGGCATGGACCCTGTAAAGCTCCGTTACCTGTGAAGATGTTTGAAAGAAATCAACCTAACAACACGGTCTGCAGTTCGCCATGTGTGAGACGGACAGGATCCAAACTGTGCTGCACACCTTATTAAAAATCTCCACATCAAACCTGCAGAATCCCAGCGTCTAAATATAAACAGGACCTGACAGCGGAGGCCTGTTAATGAGCTTCATCACCATGAGGGAGCACCGGCTGGGGATGGAGGGACGTGGGACAGATGGACAGAGGGAGCTGAGAACTGAAGGGGGGGTGATGTGAGGAGGAAGGAGCGTCTGATCTTCATTCTCTTTCTAGCAGACAGTGCAGCAGTGACAGGCTTAGAAAGGCCAGCTTCATAAAGCTGTCAACAAGGAAAAACACCTGAAACTGCAAAGGATGAGAGACTAAGAGGACGGCACTGACACCCACAGGTCAGCACTTTGCTGACGATTGGAGGTGACTTTTAAACCGGCTTTACTGCCACACTTCCTGTCTTACCTGATACGAGTCTGCGTCATTCTTTCTGTGACCGATTTAGGACCTTTTATTATTTTGCTGTTTTGGGGATAATATTTGACAGAAAAACCTGAAAAGTGTTATAGGCAGCCTTCCACCAACTGCCTATAACAGTCAACTAATCAGTATCTCAATAGATCCGTTTGGGACAGTTAAAAACATCACTATTCACTCCACCATCTGAAAAGTGAGGTATTTCACAGCTACAAACCTCATAAAAACGCAGTCTACCACCCGAACTGACAGGCTGGGTGTTCAGGGTTTATACATAATTGAGTAACTGTTATTTAATGCATTTTAATGCTCTTAGAAATAATCTTAATGCCATCAACAAGTATCCATGACTTTATATATATATACATAAGGGGTGGAACGGTTCACAAAATCCACGGTTCAGTTCGATTCGCGGTTTCATGGTCACGGTTTTCGGTTCGGTTCGATTCAGTATATGTTGATTGTTACACCGAAATCCCATAAAAATGTATGAAATTAATGAA